GGCCACAGCTATACATTGTATGACCTGGAAAATAATGGTGAGTATTCTTATAGATTTTATGTATACACACATTTAGATATTTTAAAATTAATTACAGTCATTATTGACATAAATTAAACAAACCTTTAAAAATATATATATTACATTAATAACCATTTAAACATCACAATTTAAAAAAAAATTACTATAGAATGTTCTTACACTGCATAAATATTCATATGAAAAAAATTATAAGAATATACAAATAACATAAAAATATAGAAACATAACACTGAGCCTACTGACTTAAGCTAGGCTGTTCTCACACCCTATCTCTCCCTCTTTCATGTGGCAAATGAACATGAAAACAGACACATGTGCAGCACCCGAGTACCTTCAGTGATGAGATGTTTTCATGACTCACGAAATCGTAATGACACGACTGCAAACAAACCATACTCTCTGATCGCGGGTTCTATCCCCACCCGTGGTATGGTTTATGAGATGTGTTCGCAAACCAAGGTCTTGATTCAGTACAAAGATACTTATGAGAGGCGGTGGAATAAGGGGTGAGGAAATTTTGGGCTGCTGAGTACCTTAGCCATGGAATGTGTTCAGTCCTTTACCCTTCATGAATATCACTATAAATATTGTGATGGAAGGATCTTCCATAAACACTGATGGTAGTGGAACCTACCATAAACATTGGTGACGGTAGAACTTTCCATGTACTTAGTAGGACCTACTATGGACATTGGTGTTAATGGAACCTACTATATACGCTTAAGAGTAAAATTCAGCCACCATAAGCATTAATGGGGTTAATAGTTGTCATTTGTTAAGGACAGATTACCTTTCAGAAATATCAAGACCAGTCTACAACACTGAAATTCTAATCTCCCGAAAACTTTTCATTTCCGTAATAAAAACAATAGATGTAAGGAGATATGCCTAACATTTACACCCTCTCCAGGTCCTTTAGTTGTGAGCCGAAGACTACCACTTGAGCCACGGAATATTATTTGCAGTAGTATAAAGACCAATTTTTAATTAGCGTTTCCCAAATATTCAGTTATTTTCAAAGAAATGTAACTGCTGGAGGCAATTGTGAAAGATGTGAATAAATGTTTTAGAAAACCAACAAATTGATAAATGAGACACTTGTGTAACATTTGAGTTTCTTTATTCGAGAATAAAGATACCCAGATGTTGCACAAATTTCTCATTTATCAATTGTAAAAGATGTTACCCCGCCACTTATTTATCAATTGTAAAAGATGTTATCCCGCCACTTATTTATCAATTGTAAAAGATGTTACCCCGCCACTTATTTATCAATTGTAAAAGATGTTACCCCGCCACTTATTTATCAATTGTAAAAGATGGTACCCCGCCACTTATTTATCAATTGTAAAAGATGTTACCCGCCACTTATTTATCAATTGTAAAAGATGTTACCCCGCCACTTATTTATCAATTGTAAAAGATGTTACCCCGCCACTTATTTATCAATTGTAAAAGATGTTACCCCGCCACTTATTTATCAATTGTAAAAGATGTTACCCCGCCACTTATTTATCAATTGTAAAAGATGTTACCCCGCCACTTTGACAGAGCGCTTACATAACTTGATCAAAACACGTTTTCTTTAATAAGATAATTTGATAGAATAAGTGGAGAAATTTATAGGCATTTTATCTTGCTAGCTTGTGTATAGAATAACAAACATCCTATGTGATGATATTTTTTTTTATTATCACACTGGCCGATTCCCACCAAGGCAGGGTGGCCCGAAAAAGAAAAACTTTCACCATCATTCACTCCATAGTAGGTAGTAGGTTGGTAGACAGCAACCACCCAGGGAAGTACTACCGTCCTGCCAGATGACTGTGAAACAGAAACCTGTAATTGTTTTGCATGATGGTAGGATTGCTGGTTTCTTTTTCTGTCTCATAAACACGCTAGATAACAAGGATATCTTGCTACTTCTACTTACACTTTGGTCACACTTCACAGACACGCACATGCATATATATATATATATACATACATCTAGGTTTTTCTCCTTTTTCTAAATAGCTCTTGTTCCTCTTTATTTCTTCTATTGTCCATGGGGAAGTGGAAAAGAATCTTTCCTCCGTAAGCCGTGCGTGTCGTATGAGGCGACTAAAATGCCGGGAGCAATGGGCTAGTAACCCCTTCTCCTGTAGACATTTACTAAAAAAGAGAAGAAGAAAAACTTTATAATGTGATGATATATAACAGAAAAATCATCATGTGATAGTGTATGGTAGGAAAATCACATTGTATTATAAGGTTTGACAAAAAAATATCCCTTGTGGTAGTGTATGAAGGAAAATCCAGCCTGTGTGATAACATATGATAGGGAAACCTTTCTGTGTAGTGAAGTATAACAAGAAAATCATCTTAGGTGATGGTGTAACGGGAAAACTATCCTATGTGACAAAGTATGATAAGAAAACCATCCTGGGTGATGCAGTATGTCAAGAAAACCGTCCTGGGTGATGCAGTATGTCAAGAAAACCGTCCTTGGTGATGGAGTATGTCAAGAAAACCATCCTGGGTGATGCAGTATGTCAAGAAAACCATCCTGGGTGATGCAGTATGTCAAGAAAACCATCCTTGGTGATGGAGTATGTCAAGAAAACCATCCTGGGTGATGCAGTATGCCAAGAAAACCATCCTGGGTGATGCAGTATGTCAAGAAAACCGTCCTGGGTGATGCAGTATGTCAAGAAAACCATCCTGGGTGATGCAGTATGTCAAGAAAACCGTCCTGGGTGATGCAGTATGTCAAGAAAACCGTCCTGGGTGATGCAGTATGTCAAGAAAACCATCCTGGGTGATGCAGTATGTCAAGAAAACCATCCTGGGTGATGCAGTATGTCAAGAAAACCATCCTGGGTGATGCGGTATGTCAAGAAAACCATCCTGGGTGATGCAGTATGTCAAGAAAACCATCCTGGGTGATGCGGTATGTCAAGAAAACCATCCTGGGTGATGGAGTATAAGACAACCATCGTTGGTGATTAAGTAAAACAAAAAAAACCATCACGTGTGAAGGTGTATAACATTTAAAACCCAGTTGATGAGTTAAAAAAAACATGCTGGTGCCCAGTCAAATTTTGATAATTGCAAGCCTATGGAGAGCCTCCCGTTGTGGTCATAAAGAACCAGTTCTTTGGTACATCTAATATACATTATATCTTTCATTCTCGTCTTGATATCGAAGTGTTCTTTGCAGCCTCGTAGCATTTCACTTCTTTTCATCTTCTTCTTCATCTTTCTGGTCATCTTCATCATCTCCGTCATTCTCTCCCAAGGCCTTTACAAATTCTGGAATTATCGTATTATAAAATGAATATTCACAAGATTCAAAGTAGAATAATTTGGTTTGAACACTTGTTGAACAATAGTGTGCAACACTTTATGTTAAAACCTTGTTAACCTTAATAGATATTATTATTATTATTATTATTATTATTATTATTATTATTATTATTATTATTATTATTATTATTATTATTATTTTTATTATTATTATTATTTAAAACTTCTAAATCATTATACTATACTCGTTATTTTTAAGAATTCCTTGCATTCTCTCTTTCTTATTTCTCTCCTTCCCATCTCTCCCTCCTTCACTTCCCTTCTTCCCCTTCCCCCCACCTATCTTTTCTTCCCCCTCTTCCTGTCGTTCTTGACCTTCAACACTCTTCATATACTTGCCTTCGAAGTCAATACGCCCGTCACCGTCAATGTCAACTTCCCGGATCATGTCCTCAACTGTGTGCGAGACAAGTGCATGAGTGTACACTCGCATGTGCATCGTCACACACACACACACCACACACACACACACACACACACACACACACACACCACACACACACACCACACACACACAAAATATAAGAAAAAATATGACATGACAGCGATAATAGCTCATCTGAAAGAACTGAGAAGATGGAACTGCAAACAAAACATGAACAAGAGCTGCTGGAAACACATACACAATGGTACACAGGTCAAATAAGAGTTGTGGGTTACTTACTCTCCTCTTCAGAGAGGTCCTCTCCCAGACACTGCAGGACGGCGCGCAGGTCGCTCGCGCAGATGTAGCCACGACCGTGCTTGTCGAAAATCTACCCAGGGAGAATACAGTTAACACTTTTTAAATATAATTATTAAAATATGTAAATGTGCAAAATAATGAAGGCTCGATCCTCCCTGACCAGATGGGAGCCGTCACTTGCCCCACCCGGCCATAGTGTGTGGTATACGAATACCACTGCTACTACTAATAATAAATTTACACAGACTGTTTACCCTCATCCCTACGTTAGGCAGAGTGACCCAAAAAGAGGAACAACATTCACCGTCATTCAATCATTGTCTTTTCAGAAGCGTTCTTATATCACAGTTAGGAGGCCTGGTCACAGACCGGGCCGCGGGGGCGTTGACCCCCGGAACTCTCTCCAGGTAAACTCCAGGTAAACAGTTCACATGATCCTCAGAACCGCAACATCCCCACCCATCCTTCAGAGTACAGGCACTGTACTTCCCAACTCCAGGACTTAAGTCAGGGTAATTGCTGAATCTCTTCATAAATGTTACCTTGCTCACACTCCAACAGCACTTCAAGTCATAAAAACCACTTGTCTCCACTTTGATCTAACACACTCACACAAGCCTGTTGAATGTACAAGCCCATAGCATGCAAATCTTCCGTTATCCCCTCCCTCCAATCCTTCCATAGTCTACCCCTATACTTCCTTCCCTTTACTACATATTTATATACCCTCCATGTCATCCTGTTTTACTCCATCCACTCTAAGTGTCCAAACCTTCTTAACAATGCCTTGTCAGCTCTTTGTGTGTGTATGTGAGACATACCTTGAATGCATCTCTTAATTCCTTCTCCTCGTCCTGCCTCTCGCCTCCTCCTCCCATGTTACAAACAATTTCCACAAACTCGTTGAAGCTGAACGTTCCATCACCTGCAGCAACAAAATAATCTTTGTGCTAGTGATAAATAAGTATAGTAATCTTGGAAACCCCTCAATCATACTCATAATAGTCCGCAAGACCACCTCCGTCTTCCTGCAAGCCTATGTTAGTCTTCCTAAACTCTACTGTATCCGTATCATGCAATCCATATATATATATATATATATTTATATATATATATATATATATATATATATATATATATATATATATATATATATATATATATGTTACTGGAAGTTTACATTCTAATCACTCTTGTGATTTTTTATTATTAATGTAACAAGTGAAAGCAGAGCAAATACACAGGTGTTGGTCTGTGATTCTTGTTTCTCTGCTAGTCAACACACTGTCGTTGTTGCATGATGTAATTCCTAAGTATACATGTACTGTTTACTGATTTGATATCCAGACAGTGGAGAGTCGTAGGAGTCAGTTAGCCCATCAGGCTGCGAGCTAAACAGTCAGCCGGCAGCAAGTTTCAAAAGCAGCCACTGAGTCATTTTTACCACTCATTTAATGAGTCTAGAAAACCAGTGGGTTAGTCAGTGACTGAGAGAATCTGAGAACCAGTGGGTCAGTCAGACAAGGAAATAGACTCAGACTATCAGGACTTCAGCAGTTGTAGTCAAGTTAATAATTTCTGGGCCAATATTATGTGCAAGTTACTCGCCCAGTCAGTAATTAAGGCGGTAGTCAGTCACTTAGACATCAGTTGTATATATCCAGCCACTCAGGGCGTCACTCGTTAGCTATTTAGTCAATCAGTTGACAGCAGTGAGTTACTTAGCCAGTCATTCTTACCAGTCAGTTACAAAATGAGTTATTTCAGTAACTCAACCGTTCACTGTCAGTCATATACAGTCAATGACCACTCAGTGCATGCCCAGTCATCCAGAGTCAAGGTGAATATATAAAAATGCTTTATTTTTTGTGTCAGTTTAGTTCCTCCAATCAGTCTCAAGGAGTATCAAGGACACACTGTGTCCTTGATACCCTGACTGGAAGAAATCATGCATGAAAGATTTTTGTCATTCTTCTCTACATGTCCTCCAGTGTATTTATGTCCATTACGTAGTAACGACACTAAAAATTCACAACCTCACCTAGTTACTAGATGAGAAAGAGCCGTAACCAACTAGTGTTCTGAGGTTACTAGGCTATGTAACTATGTTACCGTGTCTTCAAAGTGCAATATACACTAGTAATGTTTTCCTAATAGTAGAATTAAGCAAAATAAGTGTCTAGATTTGAAAGAGGCAGCATTAATAGGTAACATTCATAGATATAGATATGTTTATTTTCTTGTGTGTGTACTCACCTAGTTGTGGTTGCAGGGATTGAGTCACAGCTCCTGGCCCCGCCACTTTTGTGTGTGTGTGTATTTAGGAGTGAACAGAAAATAATAAATTACAATACCTCACCCGGAACAATACACAAATATGAACATTCGTTAGTTACTTGAAGAATTTGCTATTGATAAGTTTTAGGAGGAAGACATGGTTGAATAAGGCTTGACCGGGGTAATGTTTCTCCCTCTTTAGCGCGAAACGTTGAACCAACAAACTTTTGTAGTGCAATGTGAGATTTTTAAGTCATTCTCCTCCAGCTAGTTGTCTAGTAGGCCAGGTGGTGAGTGTGAGTGTGAGTGTTAGTGAGTGTGCGAATTTAAGTTTGTGTGTGAGTGTTGTCACCCGACAGCTTTCTATAATGAACTGTTGAAGGCTCGTCAAGCCTGTCCTCTCACCATCTATCTTCTATTTCTCCTCTCCTCCTTCTCTTCCTCCTTCTTTTCTTCACTGTGACTTGGACGAGGCGGTCTGGACATTCTGATATCAACTTAAAACAGTGAACAAGAAAATCATCACCACCACTACTACCGTTAGTGTACTACTACTACCATTAGTGTACTACTATTACCATTAGTGTACTACTACTACCATTAGTGTACTACCATTATTACCACTAGTGTACTACTACTACTACCACTAGTGTACTACCAATACTACCACTAGTGTACTACTACTACTACCACTAGTGTACTACCAATACTACCACTAGTGTACTACTACTACTACCACTAGTGTACTACCACTAGTGTACTCCTACTACTACTGCCATTAGTGTACTACCACTATTACCACTAGTGTACTACTAGTACTACCATTAGTGTACTACCACTACTACCACTAGTGTACTACTACTACCATTAGTGTACTACAACTACTACCACTAGTGTACTACTACTACCACTAGTGTACTACTACTACTACCACTAGTGTACTACCACTACTACCACTAGTGTACTACTACTACTACCGTTAGTGTACTACCTCTATTACCACTGGTGTACTACTACTACTACCATTAGTGTACTACCACTACTACCACTAGTGTACTACCACTACTACCACTAGTGTACTACTGCTACTACCACTAGTGTACTACCACTACTACCACTAGTGTACTACTACTACTACCGTTAGTGTACTACCACTATTACCACTGGTGTACTACTACTACTACCATTAGTGTACTACCACTACTACCACTAGTGTACTACCACTACTACAACTAGTGTACTACTGCTACTACCACTAGTGTACTACCACTACTACCACTAGTGTACTACTACTACTACCACTAGTGTACTACCACTAGTGTACTCCTACTACTATTGCCATTAGTGTACTACCACTATTACCACTAGTGTACTACTAGTACTACCATTAGTGTACTACCACTACTACCACTAGTGTACTACTACTACTACCATTAGTGTACTACAACTACTACCACTAGTGTACTACTACTACTACTACCACTAGTGTACTACTACTACTACTACCACTAGTGTACTACCACTACTACCACTAGTGTACTACTACTACTACCGTTAGTGTACTACCTCTATTACCACTGGTGTACTACTACTACTACCATTAGTGTACTACCACTACTACCACTAGTGTACTACCACTACTACCACTAGTGTACTACTGCTACTACCACTAGTGTACTACCACTACTACCACTAGTGTACTACTGCTACTACCATTAGTGTACTACCACTACTACCACTAGTGTACTACCACTAGTGTACTATTACTATTACCATTAGTGTACTACCACTACTACTACTAATGTACTACTGCTACTACCATTAGTGTACTACTGCTACTACCATTAGTGTACTACCACTACTACCACTAGTGTATTACCACTAGTGTACTATTACTATTACCATTAGTGTACTACCACTACTACCACTAATGTACTACTGCTACTACCATTAGTGTACTACTGCTACTACCATTAGTGTACTACTGCTACTACCATTAGCGTACTACCACTAGTGTACTACTACTACTACTACCATTAGTGTACTACCACTACTACCACTAGTGTACTACTGCTACTACCACTAGTGTACTACTACTACTACTACTACTAGTGTACTACCACTACTACCATTAGTGCACTACCACTATTACCACTAGTGTACTACCACTACTACGACTAGTGTACTACCACTACTCCCACAAATTTGGTACCCCCAAACTACTACCACTAGGGGACTCCACTATTTCCCACTATGTACAACCACTACAACCACAAGTGTAAACCCAACTAGTCTACTACCCTAGTGTACTAACCATTTAACCTCCCAAACAGTGTACTACCACTAGTCTAGGGGCCACTAGTGTACTCCCACTACAAACCACTATTCTATTTCCCCACTAGTGAACCACCACAACTCCCCACAGTGAAACTACCACAACTACCATTTGTGTACAAACCACAATACCACTATGTACAAACCCATAGTCTAGTGCCACTATTTTACACCACTACTACCCTAGTCTCCCTCCCCACTATTGTACAAACCACTAGCCCAACTGCCCTAGTGTACTACCACAAACCTACCACTATTGAAAACCCTACCACTAATACACTAGTGTACAAACCCACAAATCTAGTGCCTAGTGTACTCCAAATTACTACCACTAGGGACTACCACAAGCATACCACAATGTACAAACCACTACTCCCACAGTCTACTACCACTATGAAACAACCACTATTTACCACTAGGGTACCACCCACTACTCCCAACTAGTGTACTCCCCAACTACTCCCCCACAGTTACAACAACACTACCACTAGGGGTACTATTCCCCACTACCACAGTGTACTACCACAAATTTTCCCACTATGTACTACCACTATGACAAACCATTACTAAAACCACTATCACTCCCCACTAGTCTAAAAACTAATACTACTGAAAATTTTCTAACCCCCCCCCCCCAAAGGGGAGGGGTCTGACGGGTGTACTCCCCACTACAAACCACTAGCCCCCCACCACTACTACCCTAGCCCTACTACCCCCAAAAGTCACACTACTACTACTGACATTTTACAAACCCCTCCTCCCCCCTCCTAAGGGGAGTGTCGGACTGGTGTATTTCCACTACAAACCAAATATTTAACTACAACTATCGACAGTTACAAACCCCTCCTCCTCCCCTCCTAAGTGGAGTGTCTGACTTTTGTACCCCCCACTACTCCCCACAAGCCCACTACCACAGTCTCTACCACTATACTACTACCATTACTGACAGTTACAAACCCCCTTCCCCCTCCTCCTAATGGAGTGTCTGCCCTGGTTTAATCCCACTACTACCACTAGTCTACTACTACCACTACTGACTTTTCAAACCCCTCCTCCTCCCCCCAAGGGGAGTGCCTGACTGGGTAAACTACCCTCCTCCCAACTATCTACACACCACTACTAAACGGGTTTAAAACAACCCCTCCCTCCTCCAAAGTGATGTCTAAACTGGTGTACTACCACTACTACCCCCTTAGTCTACTACTCCCTACTGACAGTTACTAACCCCCCCTCCTCCCCTCCTAAGTGGAGTGCCCTGATTTGGGGGACTACCACTGCTACCACTAGTACTACCCCAAATATTTGACAGTTACT